TTGACCCTTAGACACCTATAAAGACTGTTCATTTTGTACACTTTCACTCCTTCATGTAATTGTACTGGCCTGACGAAGAATTACTGAAAACACGTGTTAGCCAACTTGACTTTTCAAGTGTAACATGGGAATATTTGCGGAGCATCGTGAATAGTTACATAGTCGATCAACAATGCCTCCCATCAGAGGGCACTGTGGAGAGCTTGACCCCCATGAATTAGAGGCTTCCTCAGCTCGATTCTCAACTCTGTTGACATGGGAATTTGCGGTGGCAGTTAATTCCAGCCTGCGTCCATAGCCATATGTCTTTGAGCTAATTGATAATCCCTCTAAGTTAGGCTCAGGAAATGAGAACACTGTCTGGGAATTATTAAGGTTGGGCGTCATCTGCCCTATTACTTCCACTTCTTCCGTTGACACATTTACATTCGTTTCATTTTTCAACTGCTTTTCGGGCAAGCTTGATGTTCGCTCTTTCGTATTCTGGCGACTTTTCCCGTTGTGTTAATTTTCGTCTTCTTCTTTGTATTCTTTTTTTCATCGGAAGCCACTACTTGACTAATAATAGCAGTTGTCTTATTCACCACATGATTGCTTTCCGGGGATTCTTTACACTGGATGGCTCTTGCTCTACTCCTAATTAGCCCCTGCGTAGATAACACCGGACGGTCCTTTGAAGAAATAGTCTTGTGTGTAAGTTCCTTCAGATTTCTTACTTCTTCCTCTAGTTGATGCATCTTGTAGGTTATCGTTTGTCAACCATTACTTGTATATCCTATCATATCCTGCGGTGACGAGTTAACAAAGCTTTGAGCTGTGCAGCCCAGTCGTGCGTCGGTGGTGTAGGGGTTTGCGGAGTAGGCTCTAGCTTCTGAGCTTCCCGGTTCGAACCCCAAGTGTGCGTTACTTTGGAACACTAGTGCAGGCGACTTTTCTATATATACAAAGAGCGTAAGCTTTTATATGAAGGAAAGGCTTTTATGACGATCTTTCGGTAGAAAGCAACTTCATTAGCTGAATGGGAAGGTATGGTCGAGCAGCTTTCGAGAGCAGAAATTTAAACAAATACTTTGAGGCGATGATGAAACAATCTCTGGTAGTAGAAAAGCAACTCAGCCTTCGTAGAAGCTTAGGATGTATTGTTCTTCAAATAATCCGACTTTCTGGGCTTGCAAGTATTAGAAACGAGGAAGGCCGAAATCGGAGTTCTGGGAATGTGCTGCAGGAGACTAGTTAAGAGGAAGATATTGATGAGTCGAATTTAAGTCTTAATTCCGATAGGCTCTAAGAGCGTACAGTAAGTCCAAATCTCGAAGTAACTAACTTCCTCGGAGGGCGAAAATTTGAAATCAAATTCGAAACGCAAGCGCCCTGTATTTTTGCACAGTAACAACCAGACTTTTTTTCGTGTTCCTCGGGGCCCCTAACAAGGAAGAACATTTGCGGGTGAAGCCAAAGTCAATACAGTCTGCCAATTATCCGTGGATTAGGCAGTATAATTCTGAAACCAAAAGAATTACACTATTTTCAGCCAAATCGAGTATTCGACAGTGAAGTCCCGAAAGGGAATAAAGCTAAGCTTTTGCACGGTAAGTGTCTAGCATCAGACACATATTCTACATTGTCTGCGCATATCTGTCGACCGCTAATTCGGAAAGCCATCTGGGTAGGATGGTAGTTGGTAGCCCTGCCCACTGATGCTGCAATTGTACTTACAGGCTCGATTTCAAGCTCTGTGATTACGTTCTCATTATGTCTAGGAGTGCACGCGCAGAAGCCCTGTCAGGATGACTTTCTTCTTCACTTTAACCGCCCCGAGAACGAGGCGCTGCAAAAATGTCTATTTAGACTCATTGTATTGCACCCCTACACGGAAATCTTTAGTAAAGGGCGAAAGATTTATCCTAGGCGGATTATGATTCATCATGCTTCTCATTATGCTTCTAATTGCATGCGCGCACTGTTTTACCTGTATCTTATTCATTTTAGAGGTACTATCCTAGGCTGCATACCACAGTACCCAGATGTTACCTGAAGGCATAACCATCCGCGTGCTGTCGCAGTATTTGTAAGGGCATGACCTTTCGGCATCTACATAAGACCCCACAGGTCAGTAGTCCTTTCTGCTGGAGATACTGCACTAGGTAGAACGACTGGATTATTTCCAGGATTCGCGAATAATCTGTCGGCCTATCCACCTGCGGTCCTGCTTTTCTTCGCCTTCTAAGAGGCTGAGCTCTGCAAGCAGAACAAACTGTAACTTATTATACAGAGTGCTAATTCCTCTTTACATTGTAAAGTACACCATTCACGTATAGCAAACAACTACTGCCACAGTTTTAATCCTAGACATGGCCACAGTGACAATACACTATTATTTGCAGATTTTCTCTTTCGCCCAAACATATTTTTCGCATTAAAGTCTTACCCCGCTTGCGTTATGCCGTCCTGCGTGCTGCTGCTTGACGCTCGTGTTCTCATGTCCATTCTGTCGGTTAGAGTACTATCGCACATGCTGCGGAATGACCTTAAGACACGCTGCCTTCTTCCAATTGATTGTTCGCCTTCA